GTAAGTGATTTCAGAACTAAGTGCGTTCGTCTATGTTAATGAAAGAGCAGGGTATTTATAGTTTGAAGATAGACAGAAAATAAGGCAAGGATCATAGTTTAGCAGTAATTATGGAACTATGTACCAATTAAAATCAAATCAGTATAAGGACTTCCTTTAATTAATGAGTTAAAATCAAATGGAAATGGGCAGAAAACATTTAATGAAAGAAATCAAGTAAGCATCATGTGCAGAGTAGACAATTAGGGGTAAGTGCATAGAGGTTTAATTAAGGAAAGAATCTTTGAAATACTCGGTTAGCCAAATAAGGTAAGAAAACAAAGTAAAGTTGCAGCATATGGAGACAATCGAAAATTAGTACATAGCAAATCAGGGAGTCAAGGATTTCAAAATCACTAATTTAATGAGAGTGACATGGGTTCCCAAGAATAAACAAGTAAACCAAGTTAAAGGCAAGAGAATCAAAAGTCTAAGGGGAAGTTTTCAAACCAATTCAAAAAACACGGAAATCAGTAAAACAAGGAAAGAATCAATTACACGAGTGCAATCAGAATTACACGGGAGATTTGAAATCAATCCAAAATTGAATGTCATTTTAGAGGGGAATTTAGCATATAAAAGAGTGCATAAACATTAGGCATGCGAGGCTGAACTTGTGACAAAGAGAATAACAATCACAAAATCAGTAGATAGTGAATTATCCCAACATGGTAGTCACATAGGTCAACTTAGTAATAGGGAAAAAGGGTATCAGAGGCATGCAAAAGTCCGGGTAAAAAGACTTTTTCTGAAAAATATAATCTAGTTTCAATGCTTGCAAGAAACCAAATCACATAGAGAAATAGAAGTTGAAACAAAAAAGACTTCGAGTCCAGTCGAGCTAATTCAAACAGATGAAGCAGTTTTCAGAAGTCCGAATAGGTCCAGAGAAATTAGGGTTTTGAAAGTAATCAAATTCAGAGCATGACTAACAAGTAAATCACATAGTAAGAAGTCTCAAGACTCGAATGAACCCAAAATTTTAGGGTTTTCACCATCAATCGAGTTCTAGAGATGAAAAATAAGTAAATCGGACAAATACTAACAAAATAGATTCAGAAATCTCAAAAGGTCAAAACCCTTAATATGCAAACTCGAGTAAAATAACAACATAAGGAAACATAGAAGAGCATGTTATAAAATCAGAGAAAGCTTCGAAATAACTTAACAGAAACTCAAATCGGAAAAGATAAGGGTTCTTGAAGGTAGAGTTTTGAAAGAAACCTTGAGAAAACGTTTAAAAGTTTAGAGTAAACACAGATCTAAAACAGATCAAAAGAAATCGAAAGAACCTCAAAGGTTAGGGTTTCAGCAGAACCCCAGATGGTGAGAAAGGCTTGGAAACCATCGATCTAAGCAGGAGAAGTCAAGAATCCGGCTTGAATGGCCATGGCTGGCTGGAGCAAAGTCAAAGATGATCGGAGACAGCCATAAGAACTGAAACCGACCAAGGTCTGGACCGGGTTTTCCCGATATGGCCTTGAAACCATAGTACTCGAACACATAGAAGCCAAGGGAAGTGGATACAGGCCTCCAATGGCTTCGGAGGCCATGGATTTGGAGGATTTTCAAGTGGTAATTAAGGGCGGCGGCTAGGGTTTGAGAGGGGATTGAGAGACGATTGAGAGAGAAGGGGGTTCAGAGGCGGCTGTAGGTGAAAAATGGTTAGGGTTTGGGGGTAGTTGGGAATTAATTTAGGAAAGAGTTGGTGGTGGCCGTTGATCATTTTGATCAACGGCTTGGATTGAATGGGTAGGTAAGGGATCCGGGCGGGTTGTTCTAATTGGGTCATGGGTCGGGTATGGCTAGGATTTGGGCTGGGTAATTGGGTTTAAAATTGGGGTTCAATTCAGGATACGATTGAAATACAATTGGGCTATATTTTAAATAGCCACTCTTACCTTATTTATTTTATAAAAAATAGTATAATAATTTTTAGAAATAAATTAAAGGTACTAAAATGATTAATAACACATAATTGTCAAATTAAAAATATTAGACCTAATTTTTATAGACCTAAATGTAATTAATCTAAAAGAGGCTAATGTAGCAATTATATGCAATTTAGCTTTAAAAATACTAAATAAGTTTGTAAAAATATGCAAAAATTACATTAGCTATATTTTAGTATAAATATGAGAGTCCAATAAATGAATCACCAAAAATAATAATTTTAGGAATAATTATTGTTTTTTTCTGGATAAGATAGAGTAATAAATTGATTTAAAAATCTTTAAAAAATTAAGAAAAAATAATAAAATATTTGGACATATTTATATATGCATACATATTCTATTTTAAAAGTATTTTGTATATTAAAAATATATAGGGAAAAATTGGGTATCAACAATGGGTTTCATGTCATTTGAGGATATTCAATTTTAGTGGGAGTGTAACCTTCTGAATGTTCTTTATATAGACATAATTTGGTTTTCAATTTAAGGTTCAGGTAATGATTTCAGTTTAAGAATACTTGAGGTTATTTTTGCAGAAATAAAGTATTCAGTTTATTTTACACTCAGGCTTATTTTTTAATTGGACTAGTTGAAAATAGATATGCTTAGATCAATTGCATGTAATTTTCATGCTACGTATTCATACGTGATCTATGTCATTTGGTTATGTTGGCATTCGTGATCAAGGAATGTTTAGTTGTGTTAAATGCAGCAAAAACTGCCTTGGTCCAATATTGGCATGATTGATGGACGAGATTGTTTGAAGGTATTTCAGATTATGATAGCAAGTATTTTGAGCTCATAAGGTGACATATAATTATAGGGCTATATGTACTATATATGTATAGCCCAAGTGGGGATTGTAAGTTGTATGGACCAACACATATATGTATTAATAATAATTGTATTTTGATTGCTATGGTTGTCCCAAATTGAAGTGATCCGCTAAAGTTTAAAGTTAATGGATCCATAAGACACCTCATAAAGTTTGGGATCTTATGTGTAGACACACGGATATAATTCAATTTTAATGATGGGCTGAATTAGTATTACAAAAGTATGTGTATCTAAAAATGGATTATGGCATCCAATCGTTGGAAGAGAGTGAGGGCTTACATCTTGGTTTTGGAGGACCAATAACCACATGACGAATGATTACATTCTCTCTAGTGGATTCGATACGCTTCCGCATCTAGTTTTAATTCTTGATGATAGATCTTGCATAAAAAATAATAGTTTCATATTAAAGTTTTTGATTCTAACAATTGCCATCAGAGCAATGTATCATGTTAAATCATTAAGATTTTCTTCAAGTATAATCGATAAATAGAAACTAATAGCTTCTGGGTCAGGTAATTTAGGTTCTTCCGGGTTTTTGGCTCATTAGGAACGAGTTCTTCGTATTTCAAGTTGTTAAGCCACTCCTTGTGATTTAGTCATGGTACATTTTGGTTCGGAGAGTTGGAGATAAGAAGAGCTTTTTGAAGAGATGAGGTTGAGAAAAGATTTTGGACAGGTTGAAAAGGGTGTTCTGAAGAGATTAAGATTGTCGTTTCAAGTGAAATGGCTATAGAGGAAGGAAGAAGACTTTGTTATGCTAGTTTTAATAATCGCTATAGTATTTAGACTTTTGGACATCTTTTCTTGGGTTAAACTGCTTTGCCTCGTCTCATCGGAGGTTGGACGTTTAATGCCATGGTCCCACGGAATTGTAGAATTCCAAGCAACTCAACCACATCTCAACTAGGTATCTCCAGCCCCTAATGCTGAAACCACAATTCAGTGGACTAAGTTAATGTGGAACAAATCAGGGGCATTTGCATCTATAACCGCTTTTTGTGTCATGTTTTAACTTATGCCCGCTTTGCAAAAAAATTGCAAGCGTACCCGTTTTTTCGCATAACTTCAACATACGGGGCTAAAGTAGCAAAGACAATCACGCAAAACTTCAGCATTCTAGTAGTCGGGCCTGAAGTTCAGCTCTAGAGCTGAAGTTTTTATTTTGTAACTGGCGAACTTCAGCTCTAGTGTTAAAGTTTTTGTTTAGTAACTGACGAACTTCAGCTCTAGAGCTGAAGTTTTTGTTTTGTAACTGGCGAATTTCAGCTCTAGAGCTGAAGTTTTTGTTTTGTAACTGGCGAATTTCAGCTCTAGAGCTAAAGTTTTTGTTTAGTAACTGGCGAACGTTTTTGTTTTATAACTATCTTACTTCAAATCTAAAGCTGAAGTTAATTAGTTCTCTTTTCTTTCTAATGCTTGTGTGTTTGTTTTTCTTCTTCTTAATGTGTGTATTCTGAGAGACAAACAACTATTCTTTCAAAAAATTCTCTTCGACAGATCGGCATTTGGAAACATATGTCTGCTATATCCTTTGGCACAAGCAAATTGTTATACATGGATTGCTTTTCAGAATTTATTTATATATAAAATACTATTAAAGTCCCAACCTTCAATGACACGTGCCTTTCTGCGATGCAAAAATTCACACTGCTATTGATTCTCGACATGAACAAGCAAGTGAATGTTACCACCATACATTCTAGTGCAGCATCAACAGCAGCAGAAGGAGAAAAGGGGCAGAAGTTATTTAAAAAGTGGGTATAAATTAAAAGTTTTAAAAAAATGGGTATAGGTTAAATGAGAGCAACCAAATAGGGCGCCCCGTGCAAATTTTTACAACAAATCAGTGAACCCACTTCCCAATTGTCAATTTGTTGCACACACGTTTAATATACCCAATAAGACCCTCTTCAATTGCAAGATTTGGTGGCCCGAAATTGGCTTGGCTTCACCCAAAAGGCCTTAGTGGGCCGTTGAACTGGTATATAATATGTGTCAAGTATAGCAATGCCAAATGCACGTCCTGTTTGATAATGCTCATGTACATATTATCTCTGCACTACTACTATACATCCAAGCAGAGACTACAAATCCCAAAAGATCCGAGAAAGGACCTTTCAAGAGAAAACTAAAAGCAGTTGGAAACATTACTAAGGTCAACAACAATTACAGTATGAATATCACATTTCCTTGGACCATTAAAAAGAGTATACCCCAAGAGGAAAAGTTATTGGATAATTTCCCATTTACTTATATTATCTGACCAAACACTGCCACAAGAGAAAGCATTTGAGTGCCAACCTGGGCAATCAGGGCAATAATACATCAAGCTATTCTAAGTTTCTATAGCACATACAAGTAGTTTTTATCCTACAAGTTAAAACAAAGTTTCTCAAGCTCTGCTGTACACTTAGAGGATGGTTCTGCATAATGTAGACACCACCTTGAATGCTGGTAAAGGGGTGAGCAACCTGATCTAATACCACAGGTATATGCTACCTCCCTTCCGTGCGAGTTTGTTTCTTTCAATAAAACAGTTGCATTGTCATGGTAACATTGCATCACCGGTTGATGTAATCATTTGTACATCTGTTTCCCCAGCTGTTCCATTCGTTGAAGGATAGTCTTTGGAATCACCTGCAGACATAATAATATAGAATATTAAGTTCAAGTTACAACAGTGCTGCAACAATAACTATGCAAGCAAGTTGAGCTCGGCTATATCAATCCTCATTATCTCATGTTGCTCCATTTAGGCTCATCTCAGTTTAATATTATACTCCCTCTGTTTCAAAAAGAATGAACCTAGTTCCTTTTTAGTTAGTTTAAAAAAGAATGAACTCTTTCTAAATTTGGAAACAATTTAATTTTAAAATTCTCTTTTTACCCTTAATGAGATGATTTATAGCCACATAAATATCTAAGGATTGTTTTAGACTACAAGTTTCAAAAGCCTTCTCTTTTGTCTTAAACTTCGTGCCCAGTCAAATAGGTTCAAACAAATTGAAACGCAGGGAGTACAAAATAAGGCCTCTGAATAAAAGAATGACACGTGTCTCTAGTTCTTTTCTGTATATTTTCCATAGGCATATCTTACATGACTAAATGACATTGGACCTAAAGCAAATATACTAACATGACTAAAACTTAATCCAACTAATTGGTATCACCTATATAGATCTTTATCTTCCTTTATGCCCCATCTTTTGCTAAGTTATGACAATATTCAAGGTTGTAAAACAAAACTTACCAAATATGGAATCAATTGACCGTCTAGGTGAGGTACTCCTCGTAGGATCTGAAAATACAAATGAAGAGTTAGATCACTCGCAGTATTTCAAAAGCAAAGAGGAATTTCACAGATACTACATGCCAAATCAGCGTACAGGGCACTGTTGGGTCTCAGGTAGGTTATGATGAGGCAATTTATCAGCACAGTAGTCCACTTTACCCCCCCCC